GAGCCCTTCCTGCACAACCACTTCCCATTTGAAGGAGGGACAAAAGACAAGGGTGCTGGCTGCATCCAAGTGGGGGGCTGCATTGGCAGGCCAGCAAAGGATGATGGCAGCATATTTGGTGGTGTACTTGGAATTGTCGGCAACTTGCTGGAGGAGGGTATGGTGGCAAGAATATCAGGGTATCATAGCAGCTCAGGGAAGAACTTAAAGTAATTACACTGTGGGTGCTGGTGGAGGCACATTAATACAGTACTGCAACATAAATTGATGAACACTTACCCTTGCCATTGGTTCCCCAGCATTGCCATTTCTGTCGCTCTGACAGATTGTAAGTGAGACAGCAAGACCACAGTAAGTGCAGTCAACCACAAGTCCAATTGACGATATTTGCAGGATGGCACCTGGAATACTTGGCAGCTGTGAAGCTGCAGCCAATGACATGTTGTCTATGGGCATAGCAGGCAACTAGTGAGGGATGGATAGTGGGAGATGGAGGGAGAGGCTGACAGTGGGGCAGGTGATACTGACAGTGGGATGACAGGAGTGATGATAGCAGGAGAGGCTGACAGCAGGGCACGTCAATATGTGGGAGTGAGGATGGTGGGCAAAGCTGACAGCAGGATGGTGGAGTGAGGAGGAGAGGGGATGGTGGGAGAGCCTGACAGCAGGGCGTGTCAATATGACATAATATGGCGGCTTTGACAGACTTCCCGGCATTTTGCGAACAGCCACTGACAGATGTCCCCCATACCTTTGACACGGTCTGTCTGCATAGACCTTACGCGGACCGGCCAAATCCCACATTTTCTGAATATCAAGGAATTATCAATTCACTGGTGCCGGGTTCTTTGTCAACAGATTTTTCAGGGCATCGACTTCATTTTCGGAATTGTCATGGTCTGACAATGGAGTGCTTCGCCTGGGTCTTTTTGAGCGCGCCATGAGCAGGTGAGAGTTATTAATTTTTTTCGGGGTCGAACTCTATATCTTTAATACCAGAATCATACTCAAGGTTGTAAAAGGAGTCGATTGCGCTATTTTTCGTGATTTTAGGCGCTATTTTAATGACCGGCCAAATTTTGGGGTTTGAGTGACTACAAAGACTGTTATCGGCAGCTTGAATGAAGCTTTGTTCGTCTTCAAATGGTCTAATCATGCGTAAGGCGTCGTTACTGAGGTCTTTCAGAAGGTTGTGGGGAAGCTAACCATAGTTGTCGATTTTGCGTGTCCGCAACTGTATACTCATTTCGGTCACGAGGTTGGGCATTGGGCGTTGGGCGTTGGGCTTGGGGCGTTGGGCTTGGGCATTGGGCGTTTTAACTTTGAGTGTCCCTATTAAATATGTGATACTTTACCAGGAACCACATACGCAGCAGTCTCCAACATGACTGAGCAGCTCCCCCCATATACTACGCTTCCCCAGCCAGAGCCCGAATCACCGCAGTACACTCTTCCAGAGACATTCAACATCGGACGACGCAGCACGCAGCACCTCGTCCGCCCAGATCAGCTCAAGGCCCATCTTCAGCTTCTGGCAGCGTTCAGCCACCTTAAGCAGCAGGTCGTTGCCAGCGAGAGCCTTGTCGCAGGATTAGAGTCGGACAGTGAGAAACGTTGGGTATGGTTCGTCAATATGGCCGTAGAACGGTACGTGTCTTACTAGCGTTCTGCGTGCGCTTGCACTGATAATCCTTTGCACTGGTGGAGTGCAGGTTTGAGAGGTGGTGTTGGACAATCAAGCAATATGATACGGTGGAGCAACGATTACCTCCCATTGATGTCACTATGGTGTGGCACGCCTATCTCCTGAATCCGAGGCAAGCATGTTTTCAATTCCCCATGAATGATGAACCTTACATTTTTCGGTCACATCTGCAGCTGGTATGCGGAGGACACCGCGCGGATCTCCAAGCTCATACCTCTCACTCATTTCACTGATTACTTTCCTAACCTCCTCGTATGCCACAACACTTTGAACAATGTCCCGAGCTCGCTGAACGTTGTGTCAGGCTAACCCTGATCTACTAACCACTGACGCACCACGACATGAACGCGTCTCTGCTTGGGAGCGCCTTACCAAATCACCGTATGACCCATTTGCATCTGCTGCGGATCTCACGCACAAATCTATCAAGTGCCCCTACTGCGATCGCACTATCCTTTCGCGTACGTCCCTTATACCTTCATATCATGGAAATATATTCTGACAGCCAGCTGCAGCGTTCTTGCAGTCCAACGGGATGGGATACGCCCAGAGCAACTTTAGCGTCAAGTGTGAATGTGCTGGACTAATTACCAAAGAACTTCTCGGCCTATACAAGTTTGCGAAGAACATAGTTGAACGAACAGCGCCTGATAAATATTTGGCGTGGGTGTTGCGTTGCTGACCATGTTGAACGACATCTAATATATACACACAGTGGAACTCTGCATACGCCACTTAGCACCTACGACACTAGGCGCGGAGACACGATCAAGAAGCGCGTCCTCAGCTCGCATATCATTTTTAAGAAGAAGAATGCAAGTAATCCCGTGCGCCAGATCTTGATAAACGTCCGGTATGACGCTACGCGCATGCGTACCGTGCTGAACAAGCACTTGAAGCCAAGATTGTATGTCCTATTTTTGTTGCACTGAATACGTTTTCTCATTGAGGGACAGGTTGAATAAGATCATGGGTGCCTACACCGACGACAGGGTATTTTCACTCGATTTAGTCGGTGCTGTGAGCAGACCTTTAACACTGATCGTATTCAAGGACTGATGCTACAAGTCTAGGTCCTCCGGCAAGCATCGTTTGTGGAGAAGATGGATAACCTTGGGTGGACCGAGCCAGGATATTTTGTGAACGAGGTAGATACGGTGGTGCTACAACATTGCACAGCTCGGTATCACGCGTGCGTACTCGCTCCTTTTTTTCTACGGACTGCACAAAAACATTGCTCTGCAGCTTTTTGAACATCATGGCTGAGTCTCCTGCCTCGTTCTTCGTGCCCACGCTCGATATTGATCTTGCGTGGCATACTCATCAACTTATGGCGAGTCGGTATCAAAACGACTGCCTCTCGCTCGTAGGACGATATGTTAATCAGTAGGTGGTGTCACGGGCACAATGCGGAACACATAATGAATACTCATTTTTCAGCGATGATAAAGTGGAAGAAGGTCAACTCGCGACCTCCTTCGACATTACCTGTCGTGCTTGGAATGTAAGCTATTTCCTTTGGAATACGACATCCCCATCAAACTCCTCTAAATCGTAGGACCGTTATCGCGTACCCTACATGCACTGCGGGTGTCCACTGCCAGGAGACACAATCGGCCAAAAGCTCCGACGCCTCCTCTCCTCTCAAACCACTAGTAATGTGCTTTTACTCCCTCCCAAATCTGACGCACGTGCTGCTACGCACCCAAGCGATCACAACGCCGTGTTTGCCCTGCACAACATGTCCGCAAGCCTGCGTCAGCGGGAGAACCGCGCGCGCAAGGCAGAGATGCGGAGGCTGCAGGCAGAGCGGAACGGGAGGGTTGTGAAGAGGGATGGGGATGTTGATCATGGGATTGCATTTTTATATCCTGTGCCGATGTTTTATTACTACCCTGGTGGGTGCGTTGCTGCTGCTGGAGCGGTGGTGAATGGAGGTTTGGGGTGTGCAGCGGTGAGTGTCGTTGTGTTTGGATAATGAGGGAAGCTGATATTAGGCTTACAGGGGGCGGGCGGCTGCTCGGTTGGTGCTGGTGGTGGTGGGACGGGATGTGGTGGTGGTGGTTGTGGGGGTGGGGGTTGTGGAGGTGGAGGTGGGGGTTGTGGAGGTGGAGGTGGAGGCGGGGGTGGTTGTGGGGGCGGGGGCGGGGTGGCAGGCGCAAGCGGGGGTGGTTGTGGAGGCGGAGGCGGAGGTGGAGGCGGTGGCGGTGGCGGTTGTGGAGGTGGGGGCGGTTGTTGAGGCGGGGGCGGAGGTGGCTGTGGCAGTGGGTAAGTCAGACTGCCCGCAATGTTTTCTTGAACCTTGAATGTCTCTATGTAAGCTTACTTGTGGTGCTCTGGAGATGTTTGCTCAGTATCAGATACTGTACTATATGATGATTGGTCTTCATAGCTGACAATACAACTTCGCGCCATCTAGCAGTAATGTTATCAATCCCCACGAGTTTGAATTCATGATTGAGGACATCCTCCGCATCTGCGAAATGAAGCGGCATGTCCATACCACTAATTGAACATAAAAAGGGAGGTCAATCGACAACGTTGATGTCGTAGCCTGGATCCTTTGTTCAGGTAAGGCAGACGTTCCGGAGGAACTTCATCACTCAACGAACACCTCAGTCATCGGGATCCTTGAGTTGACAGACCTGTTGTAATTTTTTCTCATGGAAGGCATCATAATGGTTCAGTTATTGCTCAGGCATAAAGACAAAACGGCATTGACGTATTCCTTCTCATAATCCTGTCGTGTTTTTCTTGCTAATGAATGAGAGACCCTAATGACTAGTGGCCGCGGTTAAGATAGACCTCCAAGAATTATACACCCGAAAAATGTTGTCAGCAAGTTTTGAGCCAACTCCAGGAGAAACAGATTTTGACTCTGTTGTGGTGGCCAGGACAAAGTTGAGATGAACCTCCGAGGAACTATCCATGAGTGAACTTTCAAGCTTCAAGTAATATTTCCGAAAGAAAAGGCCTGTTGTCAGTAGATTTCGAACCTGCACTGTTGAAGAGAAACAGATTTTAATTCTGTTGTGGTAACGACTTGCCTAAGACCAGTTGAGATGAGCCTGCGAGGAAACCATCACGAGTGAATGTCAAGGTGTATTCCAATAGAAGAAAAAACCTTGGCGTGAGCAGGTTTCAAACCTACAGTCCAAGAAACAGATTCATATTCTGTTGTGGTAACCACTTGGCCAAGACCAATTAAGATGGACCATCCATGAGTGAATCTGAGATGGCGAATCAGGCCAATCTGAGTGCAGCCCGGCGTACGCCATCAATCCCCGAACTGTCCGGCGGACTGACTCCACAGACTTTCTGATTACGTATAGTCTTTGGTCACGAGACAGACTTGGTGCCGTACCACTTGCCACTAACGTTGAGGAGGACCTCCACAGTCACCAAGTTAATAAAGCTCACAATGGAAAACACCGCAATCACACACCGAATCAATCAAGGGAACGTTTCCTTTTCTCTAACTCGTCATTTTTCCAGGTATTCACCACATAAAGATCCCCTTGACTTGTCATCGGCGTCGCTGACGATCAACCCACCTTATCACAAGCTTTCCGATCTGCGGACCAGGAACACTTACTTGTTCATGCAGCTCCATGACGATTCATTCCGTCCTTATGACCTTCCAGGGTTTGATACTGGTATGGATCGTGGAGATCCACCAATACACCCGCTGTATCCCCCGTGCTCCCACTGTTCACAAGGGTCTATGAATCAATGCAAAGAAGCGGCGTGCCCCATACTAGAGATGACCTCGCAAGTGCACTGACCAGTGTGTCGTCGTCGCCTGTAACGATCCTACCCACCCTGAGCCTAGTTGCCATGTTGCTGATGGTGATATAATCTGCGACAGCGCATGCCTCCCTGATGAGGACTGCGGTAATTGCTCTGGTCTTGAAGAACTGGTACGCTATATCTTGTATCTGCACGCACTTTCTAATTGTTTTCATTTTAAGCTGCAATGCTGCACCGACTATCATTCTTATCTGTCCCAGCCAAAATCCCTTGACCCAAGCCTCACACAGTTGAACTGGAACCCACAGTCAACGAATGATTTGTGTGGATGCGACGAGAGCGACTACAGCGAACAGCATGTTTCCCAATTCTTGCCAGAACACAGTGACATAGCCCGGCCTTTGGATGACGCATCTCCCGAATGCACAGTGTCATCTACTAGCTCAGCATTTTCTTCACCCCACATTTCCCAGGCGGCAACTCAATTTACACCTGTTGGCCTGCCACAACAGCTGCCGCAGTTCTCACCACATATGTTTGCTTGCTTGTGGGCGGACTGCAAGGCTACGTTCCCGTCGATTACGGAGCTAGTCGGGCATGTCAACTTGGACCATCTTCGTCCCCCAAATTTAATGAAGGAATCAACCCCTCAGCAGGTATGCTCAAACGTTCCTCGGAATCAACAATTCGACCCCAACGCTTTGTCGTGCCACTGGGGAGACTGCGCTATGTTGCCCTGTGCAGAATCGATTCCAAGTTCTTCGACAACTGCATTTACGAATACTGTCCTTGACGTACTTACCACGCATTTGATGCAAGATCATCTTGGTATTAATTACCCCTTCCCGCAATCGACGACGGCGTGCACTACACCACCACCGAAAACACCACCAACTCGCACGGAAAATATCACCCTTGATGAATCACCCACAGACCCCCTTCCCTATCCCTCACCTCGGCACAAGTCTTATTCACCAGACTTTCCATCCACAGACACCATCAAACCCTGTAAATGGAGCGGGTGCATGCAATCATTCTCTTCTCCCGATGATCTTACAAACCACATCCTCTTTGCCCACATCGGTGGCGGTAAAGCGCACTACGAGTGTTGCTGGGAGGGCTGTTCTCGGAATGGCAAGCAAGGATTTTCGAGTAAACAAAAAGTCGCGCGGCATATGCAGTCGCACACGGGACATAGACCATTTAAGTGTAAAATTTGTAATGCACATTTCTCGGAAACGGCAACGCTGCAGCAGCATATGCGGAGACATACCCAAGAGAGTATGTACCTTTCCGTTTTCTGTCCTTTCGCGTTCGACAGTCAGCTTATTGGGCACTGTAGAACCGTACGTCTGCGATTTCCCCGGGTGCGGCAAGGCGTTCGCTATTACGGGTGCACTGACGATTCACAAGCGGACGCACAATGGCTCTAAGCCGTTCAAGTGCAAGTACTGCGAGAAGTATGGGTTTCTTCCTTTTGGTGTTGAAGTGCTGATTCATTGTCTTTATTCAGGGCCTTCGCTGAGTCGTCGAATCTGTCAAAACATGTAGGCTCTTTCGTGGTTATTATAAGTCTAGCTTCTGAATCAGACTATGTTTCTAGTTACGAACACACACAGGTGCACGCCCTTACCCCTGTCCTGAGAGTGGATGTGGAAAGTCTTTTGCGAGGCCGGACCAACTTGCGAGACACATGATTGTACATAGAAGGAAGGACCTAGCCTAGACTGGGGGCGGAACACTATGCATCTATGTCGAATTTAATCTTATTTCATACAACCCTAAACAACAGTGGGGTGGCTAAATCATGTCGAGAGATAACTATGATCGTTATCCAACATAAAGAGGATGACAGTCATTGATCAAACATCGACGATTTGATCATCGCTACCTAGTTATCATCTGCTTTAAGCGGCTCAGCACATCGAATCGGACCACACAAAGTCATGTTGCCGTTTCTTTCCTCGCGCTTCAAATTCGTTCAGCCATTTTCTCGCTACGTCTACCTCTGGCTTCTCAATAAACAGCTTCGATGGTTGGCGCGTCACTCACATGTTTTTAAAATCAATCCCGTGAGATGCCTAAAATACCATCACTGAGCTAGTGCCTCCACCACAACTTTCACGCCCCATGCCCCAGGATCAGCGACCCGCTCAGCTTTCAGTTTTATGCTATCGACATATGCGCTCCTCCCAGCCTTCGCCTCCATGTCTTTCGTCCCTTCAGCAGCCTCTCTAGCGGCCTCCACGGCTGCTGCAAGGCCGGACGGCAGCTCACCGATGAACGCAGCGAGAGGATCGACCAGTGTACGAGAAGGAGGACGTGCCCGGGTGTAAGTATACAAACGATCTAAAGCCGCTTCTAGCGCCGTGCACCATACTTCTTGTGTGGCGATTGAGGAGGGGCTTTTAGCGAGCGCTTGAGCGAGTGCAGAGAAGAAGATTCTGACGCATGATGATTTTGATGTGTGAATCAGACCATAAGTAATTTCACTGACGAATAGAGGGCTCCGCTAGTTCCTCCCATCGCATCCTCAGCAATACGAGAGATTGTGATGACACTGCCAAGTACATCGTTGCCGGAGATGCTGTTTTTACCCAGAGCCTCAAGCACAGCTGTATAAATATTGAGCATACACACGCATATCGTGATCACAATGTGAAGTACCTGTAGCACCACCTTTGAGCGTAAGTCCGCAGTCCCCATCACCAGCTATATTGTCCATGCGAGTAATCTCGGGCTCAGCAGTAATGAGGGCCCGGCATGCACGCTCTACGGCGTTGTTGAATTGATTGATATCGGGGGCTTTGAGTGAGGCTGACCAGGCTTTCGCGTGGGTTGCAGTCGGGAGGGATGAAGAGACAAATGGTGGCTTTGGGACAGACCTAGAGGACCACTTCCATCCTGGGGTATTTGTACTGTCATCGAGTAAAGAAAGTATGAGATCAGCGGACGGAGTTCCTGTGTCGTTTGCGGCGGGGAGAAGGAGCATAGTAATTGAAAATCCGGGCATGTTGAGACTTGTCTAGCAGGGGTCATCGTTAATTCTAGCAAACCTAAATGGGTTCAACGAACCATGAAAGAACCAGAAAGTAGGCGAATGATTTTAATTCCAGATTTGTCTAGAGCACGCTTCACTTCGGCGACTATTCCGCCGAGCTCGAGTTCACTGAGACCTCCGAGATTATTGACGAGGAGAACAACACGGTCTGTGCCGTCGTTCTTGAAGGGAACAAAAGACCGCTCTCTGTCTGTTGTGGAAGTGATCATTTCGAGGAGAGTGGGGATGAGCTCATTGAGAGGTGGAACAGGAGAGACGCGGCGGTGACCATTTTCGTTGTGAATTCCGAGACCAATTTCGAGCTCATTCGCACCTAAATGTGTATCTGGAACAGCAGTGCCGGGGACCTGGATGGAGCGATGGAGTATCGTGAATATGACGATGACCTCAATACCCGAACATTGTCTCGTACATGACAGTGGTCCAGACCAACACCTATAGTGCCGAGCCTGGAGGAAACGTACTGGGCGACATCGTAGACCTCATCTACAGAGGCGCCTGTCTGTGCGAGGGCACCTGCAATTTTGTAGACGAGACAAACACCAGCGAGACCACTGTGGAATGTTCAGGTGATATAGTGGACTTTTGAGAGATGTCCACACCGTCTTCCAACAATATTGCCTTGGGTTCTTCCTACAGCAACGTCATCTCCTACGATGACAAACTTAACACGGTCAGCTTTGTCAGGGTAACGGGCAGCATATTCTTCTTTGGCTAGACCAAAATTGAGGACATCACCGGTGTAATTCCTACATATAAGATTCGTGAGCGAACCATACCACAACAATCTTCACGATGAGTCGTACTTGACTACGATGATGGTGCTAAACGCAGTCACTGTTAGCAGATGAGATTGCAGCCGTAACAATGAAATTACCCTTTTTCGTTGTCAATTAAGTCTATTGCACGGCGAACTTGACCAGCGCTTGGAGAGGCAAAGACATTGCCACACACAGCAGCTTCATGAATGTTGGTCAGGTCACGGGCGCATAAAGAATATAGTGATTCTGCTAACCGGTCAAAGCCCCCTGGCCTGCATCCAGGTTAATGTGTTCTGGAATGTGATGCGAAGGCTTATTTACCTACAAAACCTGAGTGGGATGGCTCATGGCCAGAGCCACCTCCACAGAGGAGGGCAACTTTGGAGCGATCCTGATCACCAAGGTACACGACTACATATCTTTTTAGCAAAGGATCCTAATCATCGATCCGCAACGTTACCTCTATGGATCGGATCAAGAGCTAGATGTGTGTTGATTGCACACAGTCCTTCTAATGAATCGAGCACAAGAGAGGGTGCTGTGTTCAGGAAATGCTTGCCTGCGTTCAAAGTTGGCTGAGCAGTTACAATGACATGAAATCGATAAGGCCTTACTTTGTACGACCATGATGACTGTGGGGTGGGAAGGAACGAGTTAAAAAGCTCATGATTATATAGACGCGATAGGCCGTAACGCACCTGACCGTGACGTAGTACCAGGCCCTAGGTGGCTTGTCCACGTGAGTCGTTCTGCAGCTGCAACCGCCACCCAAACCACTGCTCTATAATACGCACCTCTTGTGGAGCTCTATGTACTGAGCGAGTCCCCAAGCAACCAAAGTCCGGCTCAGACAAGGCTCATGAAAAAATGACTTCGTAGGTGAGTTGTCACCACCAATGATACTAATAGCACTCAAGTTGTAGTGTGAACTCAAGTTTGAAGTGCCCACTCTCTGTTTATAGTTGAAGTGAAGTTAATTGAATTGCCTAATACTATGTATCTGTGTCTACGTAAGTACGTACTACTCGACGTTGGGCTCATCTAGTCCTGCTCCTCACTACCCTCGTTATCATTATCCCATTCCACTCATCACTTTCATCTCTTCCGCTTGCTACACTCTGCGAGCCACAAATACATCGATAACAAACAAAAGAAGAGCAAAAGGAATGTTTGAACGTAGTGCTACTTCTCCGCCAAATTTTGTAGAGCAAGTTCGACGTTAACAAGCTTGAATGGCGCATCAATGAACAAAACGTACACAAATAAAGGCGGGCAAGCTCCCGGAGCAGACTTACTTCTGAGTCCGGGTACTGAATTTTAGACCGTACAAGGTAAGACAAAGGTAAGAGAACAGGAACAAGCCCCTCGGTCATGCCGTATGTGGCTTACAGCAGGTCGCAGAACGTTTGACTCGGTGGTTGGTCCGCTTGGAGTGCTGATCAGCGAGATGCCGATCTATGACTTGATTTACGTCGTGACTGGAACCGAGATTATCGGACGAGGCCGTTCAAAGTCTGGCCATAGTGGCACAGATCGACAGAAGAATGAATTATTTAGATACCTGTATTGAGTGACATACCGCATGCATATTACACTCCTGGTTGATTTTTTCGGTAGCAAACTCAAAAGTTTTCCAGTGCAACATGCTGCTATAACCTGTTGCCGTCGGAAGCGCGTATGGGTACGCATGTTTCCTTGAAGCGAAAAACAAAACGCGAATATCAAAGAGAGGTTTTTGTACATATCCGGCGTGCTTCGGTGGTTGAGCGCTGGCCCATTTTTGAGAACGTATGAATATCGACGGAATATTGAAAACAGAGATCGGCGTCCTGGTGTACACAGCACAAGTCTGTGACTCGCGGTTACTAATATGCACGCGTCGGATTTTTATACGATTCCCAGTCTGCAAACGCGATGAGCATACTCCGAGTGTCCATTTTTGAATCTAGACTGTGAGGCTTACTTACCTACAAACTCTGTCGAGTCACTGCCAAGGGGCAGAGCCGCATGTAATAGGCTCCACCATGCTGTGACATATCAGCTAGAGAAATTTTACTTACTGGGCTCATCGAAGATCACTAGAAGCAAATCATGATCAAGATTATGACTCGAGGCAGCTGGCCAACCACGAAGTCCCTAAGGGCCTGGACAGCTGCCGTTTGTTTCTCAGTTTGTTTCTCAGTTAGTTTCATTTACCACAATATATACAAACAGCAGTGACATAGGGTTTAGTCACACATACTAAGGACTCAATGCCGCCTCCACTGGCAGCAAGAGAGCAAATTCACCGGTTCTATGTCCTCCGAATGGCAGCAGCAACGGTTATCCAGCTCATAATAGGTGCTATAATTGTTTACATGACCCCATTTCTCAATAAAGAGCCTTACCATACCTCAATCCTCTCTGGGCATGCATGGGTGCAAGAGCTTGTCAACGGACATCCCAACCGGATCAAAAATGAGCTTGGGATGAGAAAGGTCGTATTTCATGCACTTGTACAGGAACTTCGGGCTTGTGGACTTTGTGATTCAAAGTATATTTCACTTGATGAACAGATTGCTATATTTCTCTACACCTGTGTGACTGGGTTATCGAGCTGTCATGTTGCAGAACGCTTCCAGCACTCTCACACGACAATACAAAAGTATGTTCACCTTGCAAAGATATTTGTACTACCAGTAGCCTCACACAGGCCTTATCAGATATTTCAAGAAAGTCCTACTTGCCATATCTTCGGCTCCATTCTACAACAAATTTGTATCCCTTCCGCATGACAATGCACCCATACCAAAGGAAATATTGGAAAATTCTAAATTCTTCCCGTACTTTTCAGGTGCACTCGGGGCAATTGATGGTACCCACATTGCATGCTGCCCGTCTGCAGCAGAACGGCAACTATCACGAAACCGCAAAGGTGGTGTCAGCCAAAATTGTCTCGCTTGCTGTTCCTTCGATCTCCAGTTCCAGTATGTCCTCAGTGGTTGGGATGGATCAACATCAGACTCGACACTCTACAATAATGCCCGGCTCACAGACCTATATATTCCAGAAGGGAGATATTATCTCGCAGATGCTGGGTTTGGGATATGCGACTCACTCCTTGTCCCGTACCGAGGTGTTCGGTACCATCTGGCTGAATGGGGGCGAGCTGCAGTTCGGTGAGTGATATACGACTCACTGTAGTGTCTTCTCAACGCTGTGACAGGCCAAAAACGTCAAAAGAAATTTATAATCTCCGGCATGCTCAAGCTCGTAATGCTATTGAGAGAATATTCGGGGTGCTCAAGAGGCGGTTCATGATACTGGTACACCCACCAGAGTATAGTATGTCGATGCAAGCTCGCATCCCCCCAGCCCTATGTGCGATCCATAATTTTATTCGCATTCATGATCCGACAGAAATAGAAGAATTTGCCGATGAAGACATTGTTGACTGCGATCCAGGCGAGTCTAGAGGCGACCTTGCAGAGGGACCAGCTGACCGTGAAGAGAGGCAGCGGGCGACTGAAGACAGAGATCATATCGCGGTCGCCATGTGGGAGGACTACCATAGGATTTGTTGCGCTCGTCAGAATACGTGAATAGAGACCTACAATACTAGTATTTGAATCTACAGAACCTGCCGGTTAATATGTTTGATTTTTCTATCAACAAAAGACTTCCTTGGACCGTCATCTGTCATGACCATATATGCATCAGCAGCGCTGACGTCCATCTGAAATGCTTCAATGAGCGCTGCCATACTATCATTGTCAAGATGCTTTTCTAGCTCCTGTGCACGTCGCATGGCCACCTGTTTGCGCTGAGGTGACAGTATAATAGATGGGCTTGAAGTGTGTGATTGCGACGAGGCTCGGAAGATGTCGCTGAATGCTGAAAATTGGTCATTGATTGCGTAGAGTGCCCCTGCTGATCCGCTAAACTGACGGCGTTTCGATGGTGGACCAGAGCTTGTAGTACCAGATCCAGAGGCAGTGAGGGAGGGTGTTGAAGACCGGGTAGATACGAACTTGCGCTTGACCGTGGTTCTGACAGGAGTCACCTCCCAAGGAATAATATCGTCTTCGTCGTCGTCCTCAGCCACTACCTCTCTCTCGGCAACCGTTTTCCCTTTGTCACTGACCATTCCTGCTACTCGCTCCTGGTCCTTGACATACTCATCAACTAACCGCTCTACCTCATCTTCCACAACAGGTTGAGTATCGTTTCCATTGGCCTGGTCATCGTCAGGGGGTGCTTGTTCAGACTCAAACATCTCATGTCCAGCATGGAAGGCGTTGGTACCGCGAGGGCGTTGTGTGCACATGAGTTCATCCATCTCGTGGAAGTGTTCCCAGCCCTTGTTGCGAAACGGTTTGGTATCAGGACGTGTCTGCAAACTCATAATCATATCAGTACCCCTCTCATATCATAACTGAAGCGCACCTTTGCAAATGCCATCCAACGAGCGGCGTCAGCAGGACCAATATTCGCACCAAGTTCATCATCCCATGAAAAGCCTGATTGAGATTTGATATCGATAATAGCGGCATATTTTTTTTTGCACTGTGCAAATTACAATCAGAATATAATCTAGCATGAGCAGAGAACGTACATTTAACCACTTGTTCTTGCATGATTGCCAGTCCCTGCCAGATCCCCCTACATGGTTTTCCTTCGAAACGCCATCTGGCGGCTCCTGCAAATGAGTTGATGCGCCAGTAAAAGTAGACTGTTTGAATCCTGTCCCATCTCCACCTTCAGCACGGTGAGCTATGAGGTATTCGAGAAGGCGGGATGTCTCTTCGACAGTCCAGCGAGCAACTGCTAAAGTCCCGGCATTGTTTGCTGAAGGTACAGTAGTCTTTTTCTTTGCCATAGCAGCGGTAAAGGGAGGTATGAGTGGGCATTTGAGACCGTCACACAAAGGTCACTGTTGGTCACTGTTATGTCACAAGTGCCACGCCACATACAGAAACAAACTGAGAAACAAACTGAGAAACAAACGGCAGCTGTCCAGGCCCTAACACGTTGATTCGGAATCATGTTCGACGATTTGTATTCCCCGTGGGAAAAAATAGTTACATACGCGTTCTTGTTTGTCGAGGAGGTTTCTCATTTAAATGTCATGAGTTTGCCATCACCTGCAGCATCACCTTCCTTAAAATCAACAGAACTGATTTCCGCAAGTCGAAAGAGACAGCGGTCCCAATCTATGCAATCAGATTCTTCGTCTTCTATGAAGCGCTCTGCTTCAGAAGGCCCCTCATCAGCTACACCTGTCCCTATCATGACAGATCCTATATCTTCCATTGATTCTGCAAGAGAGCACGAGATTGAAATTGACGCTTACATGGCAGAGCAGGGTGAAGATATCTCAACTCAACCAGGTTCTCTTACCATCGAGCAGAAAGTGGCGCGCATCAAATACCTACGTGACAAGCCTATGGTCGCGGGCGACACTTGGTATATCATATCTCGTCAATGGTTCAGACATTGGGAGATCGCTTGCGGAATCTTGTCAGACAAGTCACTCGAGTCACTGCAGGAGAAGGATATCGGTCCACCAGACAACTCCTCTCTATTTGACTCCCAGGGAAATCTTATCTCAAATCTAGTCGAACACATTGACGTCGAGTTCTTACCCGAAGAAGCTTGGTCTGAGCTTGTGGCTTGGTGCGTGTTACTTCTCGACTCCATTCACTTTTTCATATCCCTTTAGGTATGGTCAACCGATTAATCCGCTCCCGCGATCCGTCATAGCCAAAGCCT